TGTGCAGCAGGTGTGGGAGGCGCCACTGCACCTGCCAGCTACACTTCTTCTAGTGTCCTGAGCTCTCTGCTGTCGTCGTTGGCTTCTTGTCTTCCGGCCGAGATGCAAAGGTAGAAGGACGAGGTGGGGTCGGCAGGGGCTGTGTCCTGCAAGCCTGAGTCACACTGTCAAAGACAGTAAGTTCCTTAAATTGCACTCAGATGGGGACGGCTTTTCAAAGCTGCATTTGTCGAAAGACACCATCCTCTGAGGGGGCGGAGTAGCTCGTTGGCTGAGCAGCAGGTTGAAAAAAGCCCAAGAACCTGCTGTGATCCCAACTGTGCCGCTAAAATGTTTCTTGTGACCTTGGGTAAGTCTTGTAGCCTCACTTCCAGCATTCTTAACAACCCCCAGGTTATTATGAACAGCCTTGAAAAAAGTGTTTTTAGCGAAGAAGCGAAATGGACCGCGCCCCCACTGCTCCCACCCGGCCGGGCAGTTCTGCCCCGAGAAGAGAGGTTGCAGGTCGTTTTTAGTGCCATGTCTTCTTTTTCTTCCGGTCCTTTGGTCCAAATCAGCAGCCTGTTTATTGGAAACACTAGTTAATGTAAGCTCTTTGGTGATAAGTCATTTCAGGTTGGCGGTTGCTCTGGCGTGCTGAGCGGCCCCCGGTCCCACTCTTCTACTGGAAAGTCAGCTGCAGTCTCTGACCTGCGTGCTGGGAGGCAGGCTCAGCCTCGCCAAGCGTGAAGAGTGATGGAGAAGCCATCCGGTCCCATGGCCCGTGCTGTGGGCTGGGACATCTGTCCTCATTTGGAAGAGGCCTCCTCTTCAGTTTTTCTTTAGGTTCTTACATCAGCTCACGTATTAGTTGCAGTGGTACTTTACACAGGCACTAATTAGAGAGCCATCAACGTTGGGGTCCAAAGGCTTACTGACAATGCAACTGTCATAGTGTTGTCTTAATTGGTGGAGTGTAATTGTCATTAGGCAGCGATAAAGACATCTGGAGCTCTGGAGAAAAATCAACCTCTTCCCTGCCTCACTTTGCTGTCTGCGGCCAAGGCTGGTTAAGTGCTTTTAGATCGCATTTAGGGTTTTGGTCCAGGCCCCTCTGCCCCAACCAGTGCCTTACTCTGCGGAAGGTCTGCTTCTTTAGTGTCAAGTTGGATTGCCACCACTGTGGTCACCTTCACTGTGTTAGGTTTTAGAACCTGCAGCTGAGTCATCATGCAGTACCTGCTGAAATAAGCTATTTATTCTCTGTTCTCATCATAAAAGAGTCATAAAGTCTCTTACAGCTTGCTTCCTGAGTCATTTGGCAGCAAAATGTTTGTGTTACCATGCTCTTTGGCCATGAAGAATAGAGTTAATTTAAATGGTTATCTATGGAAAATTTCATGTTTACTGAGGTAATTTAGCTTATCCTGTGTTTTATCGAGATATTTTATTTTAAATTTTTTACTTATTTACTTTTAAAGAGGGGAGTAGAGGGAGGAAAAGAGAGAGAGAGACAACTGTCAATGTGTGAGAGATACAGGGATCTGTTGCCTCTCACACATCCCCTACTGGGAACCTGGCCTGCAACCCAGGCATGTGCCCTGAGTGGGAATTGAATCAGTGACCTTTCAGTTTGCAGGCCGGCACTCAGTCCACTGAGCCACACCAGCCAGGACTTACTGAGATATTTTCATCAGTTTGGAAATACATGCAAGAAGTCTAATGCATATTGGTGTGTGTGTGCTCTGGGTGTTTCTCTGCACTGGCAGGTGGGCAGTAGATACGAAAGGAAGTGCCACTCAGAGCCCTTGAGTTGTCACTTGTGGACACCCCCCCTTTTAGTCACTGTTTATGTATCATCACCTGTGCGCAAGGCACTGTGGTGGAGGCTATAGCATTGAGATTCGGCCTTCGCGAGGACTGTACAGTCAGATTGAAGGGGCATCCATCACACTTCGCCATGAACGCCATTTTTTCAGATGGGGGCATAGTAGTCGAGTCTGAGAAGGCTCCATGGAGGAGGAGGGCCTGAGAAGTTGGCAGGCTTGGGGCAGGTTGGAGGTTCTCAACCTTTGCCGCACACTGGAGACATGGACCCCCAGTCCCACCCCACCCCCGGAGAGTCAGATTTAATTGACCTGGGGTGTGCTTGGATATTGGGAGTCTTCAAAGCATCCCAGGTGGTTCTGTAATGTGCAGTCAAGGTTGACACCCTCTGGGCTGGGTGGTGGAGAGGGAAGGCGCTCCAAAAAGGTGGAGGCTGTGTGCCGAGGTCCAGAGGCGAGAGTGTTTGGAAGCTAGTGAATGGCAGGCCTGTCTGGGGGTCGGCTCATGCTGAGGAAGAGTAGACAAGGCCCGGAGGAGGCGTGGACACTAGTCTGTGGAGTGTTCCCAATGCTAGGCTAGCAGTTAAACCTTCGTTCTGTAAGGTGTTCGGGCCTAAGCGTTGTATGTACAGAGGGCTTCCTGGGTGTCCAGTGCTCTTTTAGTCTGACTGTTCCAGTCACTGCATCCACAGCTGGAGCAAGACCCAGCCCCCTTACCACAGAAGCCTGTAGGTCTACAGGGGAGATGACCAGTCAGATGATCTCTCTCGCTGTCTCTCTCTCTCTCTCACACACACACACACACACACACGCCACCAGAGTGAGTCTATGTGGCTCTCATGGTGTCGATCATGGTGTAGCGTGGGGAGCAAGGGAGAAAGGGAGGGTGATTCATGGAGTCGAGTGTTTTTGAGGAGTTGGCCGTGCAGGGTTGACTGGAGGTGGGGGAGGCTCAGCAGTAGCGGGGCTGCCGTGGTCCGTCTCCTGCGAGGGGCTGGGGGACTTAGACTCCAGAGGCCTTCCTGGGAGGGAGAAAAGAAAGGGCGCGCTGATTTCAACGTATACTGCATTGCAGGTGTGGACGAAACCAGAAGCCCCACTGGCAAAAATAGGGAATTCAGCAGCAGGCTAGTTTGGGAGTGAGCCGAGCGTTTTGAGGAGAGCGTCCATTTAGCTTTGGGCAGGTGAAGGTGCAGCTTCATGGCCGAAAGGCTCGTTGGAGCCTGATGGAGGTGAGTGCAGCGCTCCTCTCTGCGGCATCGCCCCGTTCCCACGGTGTGTGTAGTGTGGCTTTGCCTGGGAACCCACTGTGTAAAGGGGCCTGGGGGTCGGGTGGAGCTCGGCCACCGAAATTCTCTCCTCTGCCCCCCGCCCCCTCAGTGGCCCCTAAGGGCTGCCACCAAGGACCACTTGAAGACCACGTGTGTGGTCCCATTCGCAAGTAATAAAAACAGAGTGGCCCAGCCTGATGGAAAGGAAGTGCATTTCCTGGTCTGTGTGCTGCTTTTTCTCCCAATTCCTTAGTTCTCCGACCCCTGAAATGCTCTCTTTTTCCTTCACTCACCTTCTCTGAATTTCTGAAAGACGTAGCCATGCTTTTCACCTTTCTTCCCTGAATTGGCTAGTTCCTGTCACTTCCAATTTAACCTCAATCTACACACAGTCTAGAAACCCAAACATGTCTTCACTGCTCAGTGTCTCTAGCTAAGCAAGTGGCCTTACCAGGGGTCACCTGTGTCATTTTCAGGACGTCAGGGTGCACCTATGCAGTGGGGTACATGTGCTCACCCAGGGCCCTCGATAGGAAGGGCCATCTGGAACACAGCCTGCGGGGCCTGGGAGCCCGCCGCCGCGTGCTGGCCACTGGGCTGTGACTGGCCGCTCCTGCTCGTGCGCCTCCAGGCTAATGACACTTGTGAGCGATTGTGTTTCCTGGAGGACCAGTGGTCACGCAGAGGCCCACCAGTCCAGTCTTAGAAAGCACGAGGCTCTTACGTGGCTCCCAGCTGCTGCCTGCAGGGAGGGTGTCCCCAGCCTGGAGGGTTAGTGACAGAATGGCCTGTGAATTCCACAGTGCACGTGTGTGCTGTCAACCAGCAGTTTGAGAGAAAGGCTGCTTGCTGCACTCAGTAAAGGAAGCACTCCTGAATCAGAGTATTCTCAGTTTCTCTGTTGAGAAATCTCTCACGAGAAATTGATCTGTAACTGCTTCATAAGGAATCATACCATAGATTTCAGTAATAAATAAATGAATCTCAGGTTATCTTGTTTGATGCTGCGCTTTAAGGTGGGATCAGAGAAACCCTGAGAGAGCAATGTCCTGGGTTTCAGGAGGAGTGCGGACACCTTCACTCGTCCGTCTATCTGTGTTTGTGTGAGTTCCTCTTGAGACTCTTAAAACAGCTCTAGCATGCCTCCCCACAGTTGATTGACGTGCTGACTTGAGCCCTCCATTGCAGGTGTCAGGAACTTAGCTCGAATGTGCCAGTGGCAGGCAGCGCTCCGCCGCCTCAGCCGACTGGTCCACGTTCCCAGGGGCCTCGGGTCTGAGCTGGTCCTGGCCCCGCCTCAGCGGTGATGGAGAGTGTCCTTTGTTGGAGCAGTAGCAGCAGAGAGTAGTAGCTCCTGTTTTCTAAGTGGGCAGCACTGGGGGTGTCGTGCCTCTTGGCAAGGGCTTTTCGTGAGAAGGCAGCATTGTCTGGCTGCTAAGGCAGGACTTAATTGTTTCAGCAAATCAATTAGTCTTTAGGGACTTTAATCAGTCAAATCTGATGCATGGATGAGGTATTAGAGAATTTGGGCCTGCAAGGCCATTAGTCCTTGGTTTTTCTCTCTCTGCCTGTCTTTCCTGTGTGTTTATGTATGTAAACACTGTGGCTTCTGCAAATTTCTGCTAGTGCTCTCTTTACTGGGAGAACGTAGGGCAGCAGGTGGGTTATAGTGGCATAGAAGGAAAAACAAGGGGATCTGAACACCCCAGTGTCTGTGGCTTAGTGCTCTCTCCGGGTGTCAGTGCTGTGCCCTGAGAACGTGAAGGCTGCGGGCTGCCCAGCTGACGTCTCCTCCTGGCAGGGCCGCTCACCCCCAGTGTGGCGGGACTGTGCCCCTCTGCTGTTCCAAGGCTCTCCCCGTCTTCCCCACTGTGACCCTGCTCTTCCCGCCCCACTTGGAACCAACCGTGTCCTTCTTTTCCAGATACACATCAGGGGACGTGAGGGTGTGGGACACCCGCACCTGGGACTACATGGCCCCCTTCCTGGGCTCGGAGTCTGAGGAGGATGAGCCTGGAACACAGCCATATGTCTCCTTTGTGAGGATAAACAACTCGCTGGCGGTGGCGGCTTATGAGGATGGTAAGTAACCACAACCCTCTTCTCTATTAAGGGGAAAAAAGGCTTTACAGAAATTAAGCAGCTGTGGCCGGCTCCCCCCTGAAATCCCTCCATACGTACACGTGGGCACACACACATGTTCTCACACACACACACTCTCTCTCTCTCTCTCTCTCTCACTCTCACTCTCAGTCTTGCCTCTTTGTGAAGAGGTTGGCCGATCACCCTCGGTGCATTAGTGGGCATTGGAACACAGCACCCGTTACAACTGGCGTTTAACTCCTGCCGGGCTGCACGCGAGTGCCAGACCCAAGGCTGGCCAAGCCATCTTAAGCAAATAACTTGTTTGGTGTAAAATATTAAATATACTTGGCCTACTTTTCCTTTAGTCTCTGCCTCGTCCAGAGGGAACAGTGAGGAGGGGTAGATGTGGGTAATCTATCGACAGATCCGGAGGTAGGAAAAAAGGCAGCACCTCCCTTTTCCTGACACTGACACGCCGCACAGGGCGGCGTGTGGTGACACGTTGTCCCCCTGGGGCTGCGTTTTGTGTGCGCGCCCCCGTGGGTCACAGACGTGGCTGAGAGCCGTGTGCGGCAGAAACGCTCCATGGTGCGTAGCTAAGAGGGGCGGCGGTTTCGGCGGCCACAGATGCCCTAGACTCTTAGCCACGCCCCTCGCTTCTGCTGTAGCGTCAAGTTAATTTCCCGTCGCAGCAGAGCTGTGGGTCTCAGAGTCAGCGCAGGGTGGCCGGAGGGCCCAGGTGGCCAGAACAGTGGTGGAGTGGGTAACGGGGACTTTTGTGTGCGTATGCCATTGGGGGGAAAAATAGAAATTAGGGCTGAAACTCAAATACTTTCATTCTATGATTTTAACAACATGAACTCTGTTCTTTTGGTTTGACATTAGCGACACCACTGGTGGGTTTTTTTCCCAGCCTCTAGAGGTTTAGCCAAGCCGGATTGGTTCTGGCGTGTGACATGTCTGTGTGTGGAGGTCCTGGGCAGATGGCCTACGGGCAGCGTGGGTGTGTGTGCTGCTTTCCAAGTCATCCATGAGTCTTTTTCAAACAGCGACGCCAAGGTCGTAGTGCTTTTAAGTTCGGACTGTACGGTTTCAGAATTGTCCGGTAGCCTCCCCTGCCACACACACAGTTGTCTTCAGATGGGGAAGCCGAGCTGCAGAGAAACAGCTGAGTGACCTGCCTGAGGCTGAGTCACTAGTCAGCGGGGCATCCAGACCTGCAGGTGTGTCTCCGGGCCCACGCGTGGTTGTAGCTCTGAGTGTGTGATAGTACACGCAGAGACACAGAAACATGCACCTGACCTAGCTGTACCCGTGTCTCATAGCTCGTGAACTTGAAAGTGCGGCGGGTTTTCCCTCATCAGTCAGGATTGTCTCTGTCACTCTCATTGCTGTTGTGACACAGAGAGGTTGGGGGACCATGTAGATTTGACAGAGAAACTACTTCCATAAATACATGGCACATAATTGCCAAAATATATTTTAAATACTTAGTTTTAAAAATCCATAGAATTCAAACAGAGCAAAAAAGTCTAACATGTAAAAGGAAATGTGTCCAAAAAGAAGTCGAAGGGCCTTCCCTGCCCCTCCACCGCTGGGCCCCCTCACATTTTACACGAGGGTCCTGCTCTAGGTATTTCTCCGCAGCTCGCCGTCCTCACCCAGCACCCCACCCTGGTGTCTGCCTGTACTGGCACCTGCGGGCGAACCTCCTCTTCCCCAGCCCCTGCAGTGCTGCGTTCTGGGGCTGTGCCGCCATGTACTCACCGGGGCCCTCAGTGAGGCACGTTTGGGTTGCTTGTCTTTGTCATTAAAAACAGTGCTACAAGCAATACCCTTGAATAGATACCATGATGGACTTGTGCAGGCGTATCCATGGGGTGAATGACTAGTAATTACCAGGTCGGAGGCTGCAGATGCTTTATGTTTTGATAAAGATTGCCAGATTCCCCCCACCCTGCAAACATTCCACCAGTTTATAGTCAGTCTCACCAAAAGTGTATGTTTCCTTGTGCCTGTTGGGGAGGAGGAAATGGTGTTTCGCTGCTGTTTCTGTTTGCGCTTCTCTGTAGGTGTACATGAACTTCTTTCCACGGTGTTACTGTTAGTGGTTTATATTTCTTTCTCTGCAAATTATGCATTCTTATCTTTCCCCATTTTTTCTTTGGGTAGTTATCTTTTGTGGTTGAAAAGAAAGGACTAAGATCTATTTCAAATATCTTTTCAATTTGTCATTCTTCAGTGGACTATGTTTATGGTTGGTTTTTCTAGGTGGTAGTTATGTGAGTGATGTTAATTTTTTAATCCGTAAAGGGGTGGATGTTTTTGTAATTAATGTTTTTGATCAAGTAAACATTTTTAGGGATATAAAATCAAAGTAATACAAACAATAACCCAATGGGCACATATTGAGACATCTTGCTTTTGTTCACTTTGTCCCCTCAGTACAAAAGCAACCGTGTATTTCAGTTTGTTGTCCATTCTTCCAATATTTCTGCATTGCAAATATGAGTATCAATTTTTTATTCCTCCTATTTGAACAAAGGATGACCTATTGCCTTATAGTATTCCATAACTTGGCTTTTTTTCCCACTTAGTGCCATATCTTTTTTCGTTGTATAAATTTGATATGTAACATTGTGTAAGTTTAAGCTGGGCAGTGTGTTAATTTCGTACATTTATATAGTGTAATACGAATGCCATTGTTGTGATATTTATTACATTACATAATTATAAGACAATATCATTTTCTGGATTCATTGTATTTAAGGCTCGTTTACTACTTGGTACAAGTTTGTACCTTTAGACATCGTAAATCTTTTCCTCGGGTAACCGCCATTTTACTGTTTTTCACAGGTTTGACTTCCTTAGGTTCTACGTATAAGTGATCACACAGTACTTGTCTTTCTGACCTGTCTCACTTAGCAGACATGCTCAAGGTCCATTCATATGGTCACCAGTGGCAGGATCTCGTCCTTTTTCATGGCTGAATAGTATTCTGTGTTATATGTGCCACGTGTTTTATTCGTCCATCTGTTGATGGGCACGTGGGTTGTTTCCCCCTCTTGGCTGTTGTGGATAATGGTGTGATGGACAGGACATGTCTGGAAAGGTGGCCTGTGCCAGTGTGTACAGAATATACTTGTTTCCTGTCCCTGCGTAGTGTTCTGTTGTACGGGTGCTGTGGTTTCTTCACACAGCCCCTTTCCGAGGAACGGGAGTGTCGTTTCTGGTCTTCTGCTGTTGCAGTGCCCTCGTGGAAAGCCTCGTGTGTGCGACATTTCCTGTAAGCGTAGGAAGGAGAGCTCTTTATAAAAGTGCAAGTGGAGTAATGTTATTTTGCACTCTTACCAGCAAGGTATGAAGGTGTGCTCATCTCCTCACAGTTCTGTCAGCAAAGTCTATGTCAAACGTTTGTCAATTTGATAGATAAGAAATGGTGTCCAAATGTAGTTGCAGTTTACATTTCTCTTAGGGTGAGTTTCCCACCTGTGTACCTGCCTCTTGCACTTCTTTCTTCTAGTTGTTTTGTATTTAAATCTTGGTCAGAACCATCCTGGAATGGTTTTATGAGGCCGGGATTTGAGTATAGCCTATTTCCAGCATCCGTGTTTAGAAAGCCCATCTCTGCCTCTCGGGTTTGTGGTGCTGTCTTTTCTACTTTGTACATATGAATTCCTTTAGCACTTTGGTCTGTTTCTGGATGTTAACTCCTGGTCCAGTTGGTCCGTCTGGTTGTTCCCATTTGTATTGTCACGTTTGCTGTTCGTGTCCTTTTGTGGTTCGCATCCTGCCCTGGGGCTATTCCCACTCTGGGTACAGCCTGCTCTCCTTCCACGGCTGCATGCCTACACGATCTTTGGTTTGCCTCAAATTCCTGTTGGTATTAGGATTGTTTCTTTGATAAGAGCTCTTGTGTTTTCCTGCCTCTCTGTCCCTCTGAGTTGTTTTGCCAGTCTGGCTGGGGCTGTTACTATTTCCGAGATAAACAACAACTTCTCACGTTCCCCCCAGACCTCAGGTGGCATTGTCTTTGGTTTCCCTTTGGTGTAACAGATTGTCGCTGCGATATTTGTACCAACATATTTGTGAGTAGCTACTTCTGGGCAAAGATAGATCGGAATAATCAAATGTTCATTCTCCACTGCTCCTTTCCCGGAGCAGTTAGCAGGCACTTCTTAGGCACTACAGGGCAGAAAGGAAACTTACCTTGTGGCCTCTGCTAGGTAAAATTTGTAACTGTGCCCGCAGAAGAGAAGAATTAGGAAATAGAATGTGTTATGAACTTCAGCCCCCCCTGGTTGTGCCAGAGGGAAGCTTTGTAGCTGTTGAGACCCCTTGCTGGTCTGCACACCGAGGACTCGGATCCAGAGTCCTGGATCCGGAGGGGAGAGGGAACCTGCTTTGGGAGACAGCGGGTCATCCCTTCACCCTCTGCAGCCTTCTTGCCCTGCAGGAGCACTGCACACCCCCCTGGGGTGTGGAGGTTTGGCAAGGTGATCCACAGTTGTGATTTTTTGAATTCCAACCCACTGGCCTCATATTTCTTCTGCCTTGTTTCCGATTGTCAGCACTGGCCGTCCTCCAGTTTGATTTTACCACTAATTGTGTTGCACGTTACCGTACCGAAATGAATCAAATCAAAATGCTTTTCCTGGAGCATTAGATAAAGCAGGCGAAGGTTCTGAGTAATGAGCAGATGCTGCTAATGCAGGGACAGTGGGAGACCTTGCCAGGACTCCATCTGCTCCATGCTTGCCTGCCCTGGCCTGGAGCCACAGCATCAGGGAACGGCAGCGGGCAGCGTACTGGAAACCCACTCCCCGTCCACGGAGTTTGCCTGGAGAACTCGCTCTTTGGAGGAAAATGAGATGACACACTTGTGGGTGCAAAGTTCTTATCTGTCCCCGCTCCGTGGAGGGAGGAGAGACGAGACTCGTGCATGTTAGCGTGCGGGAGCCTAGATGGGGCCCCCGCAGCCACCTTCCTGCGGTGCC